CACAACTAAGTTGAGATAGAGGCAGTCTTCCGATGTCGGCACATTGCTGTTCCACATCGTAGCTCCTTCGAAATCACCAAAGTATGTATCCAAGCTCTGTAAAAAAATTTAAGAAGTGAGTATCATCAACATAATGAATATTGATGCAAATCTGATTCCCAATACCTAATGCTGCTATTTTACTTCCTCTGGCAAATTAGTAAACCGAGGCTGGAACGCACCAGGCGACCCGCTACGATCATGCATTTTTGCACCAAACTTCAAGTAATTAGGTAACTGCTTTGTTTCTTTACATCTATCTTTGTGCGCTCAATGCCGTAAATCATCGTAAATTTTGCATAAAAAGAAATAATTTCTGATTCTTGAAAATGGTCAAGCTGTTCAATGAGCAATTTTCCCGTCATAAATTTAAGTGCCTGTGCACGAGAACCACGCATACGTGGAGTCTAAATTTGAGACGTTTAAGTTGTATTTGGGCGGAGATTGTTGATGATACTCACTTCTTAAATTTTTTTAGCTCTCCAGCTTTTCTGGCTCCCGAGTTAGTCATTTTCCCGCCAAAAAAGCTTCACGGGCCGTAAGAACCGCGCTTGCCTGGGGGCTGAATTTACATGGGCTGGGAATATTCCCTGAAAATTTCAGCTTCCCAACTTTGCTAATTCCAAGTTAGCCATTCTCCCGCTAAAAAATTTCACGGGGCCTTACGTAAGGGCCTTACGCCTTACGGAAGAATTTCACTGGGCCTTACGTGCGACTAGAGGTTGAATTTTATAGGTTTATGTTATACTTATGTTTGGAACATTCCTTGAAAACCAGTTTTCCTGGTTCCCAACCTAGCGATTTTCGCGCCAGGAACCCTCACGGGGTTGTATGCGGGAAGCACGCACACCTGGGAGCTGAATTTGAAATCTTTGAGTTAAATGTGGACGGGGAGCACGACCTCAAAATTTCAGCTTTCTATCTTTTTTCGTTTCCCAGTTATCAATTTTTCCGCCAAAACTTCCACGCCTTCGTACGCGGGGCCCAGACTTGCATGAGGGATGATACTGCGGTTTTGGAATGATACTTGGCCGAGGAACCCACTAGCAAAATCTTGGCGCAGGAACTTGCTTGGTTGCCAAGTTGAAATACCGGGACAGACGAACACACATACACACACAAACATATACACATACAGACAGGGTCGTTGTAATATGCGTTTTTGCAATTTGCACATAGGCAAAAACGCATAAGAACCCAGGCTGGAACGCACCGGGCGGGCCCGTGCGATCATGTGTTTTTGTACCGAACCTGAAGTACTCAGGTCATTAACTGCATGAATGATTGTTGCTTTACACCTAACTTCTGCGGTCACTAGCATAAATAATCATAAATTTCCATAAAGTAAATGCACATTTTCCATTTAGCGGTCGTTCTTTAAAAGTAACCTAGCTATTCAGTGAGAAATTTTTCCACCAAAACTTTTAAGTGCATGTAAGTAAGAACTACGCATACCTCAAGGCTGAATTTGAAATACTTAAATTGTATTTGGATAAGGAAATTTACCCTAAAATATCAGCTTCCTAGCTTTTCTGGTTCCCGAGTTAGTAATTTTTCGGTAGAAATTTTCATACGCCCTTAAATGAGTACCATGTACAGCTGAGGGCTGAATTTGAAACGTTTGAGTTGTATTGGGCAGGGAACATTACCCCAAAACTTTAGCCTTCCAGCTTTTCTGGTTACCGAGTTAGCTATTTCCCGCCAAAAAATTCACATGCCCGTACTAGGGTCCTCCACTTACTTTAGAAGCTGAATTTGAAATTTTTAAATTGTACATGGACAATTTTTAGATTTAAATTCCCTAAAATTTCAGCCTTCTAGCCAAAAAAGCTGAGTTAATAATTTTCCCGCCAAATCTTCACGTGCTCGTGCGCAAAGATCACGCGTACCTGAGGGCCAGATTTGAAATATTTAAGTTTTACTTAGACAGAGGACATTTGTCAAATTCCAGCTTTCTAGCTTTTCTGGTTCCCGACTTAACAATTTTCTCGCCAAAACTTTCACATGTCCTGACGTGAATACCATGCTTACCTGTGGGCTGAACTTGAAATCTTCAGTTAACAAATGCACAGGGAATATCCCTGCAAAGTTTCAGCCCCTTACATTATCTGGTTCCCAAGATCGTTTCTCGCCACTAAATTTTGCTTATTTTTTTAAAGCATCTTTACGCGGTACCCAGGCGTCCGCGGGAGCTAATATTAAAGAGGGAGGGTCGCGCATGGAATGGGCACATAATTCCAAAGTTTCAGCCTCTTAGCTTTTCTGGTTTGAAAGTGGGTAACAAAAAGTGAGAACACACAGACACACACACACACACACAGATAGCATCTTCCCAATATGTTTTGCAATTTGCACATATGCAAAAACGTATAAAAATCAAATGGAGCGCGCTCGGAGATTGCCGGTCTGATCATGAATGCCAAAGAACGATTTTGTGCTATAGTGGTATAATTGGACTCCCACACATTACGACATTCTCAGAAGATTCAAATTCTTAGCTTAAACGGCTTCCAAAATCGCTTTCCTGTAAAAAATTATTTGAGATGCCCATACGCGTGATACACGCATATGTAAATGCTCATTTCACGTCCACTGATTCATACATGAATATCAGATATTCTCGCAAAAACAGAGGGAACTAGTTCCCGAGTTGACATTTTGTCGGCAATTATGAACTGCAGTTTTGTTCTATTCGTATATATCACCTGTGCGAGCATTCAAGCAGAATTTGAAATCTTTAGCTCAGACAGTAGCACAGAATATCCTTGTAAAGTTCCAGCTAACTATTTTCTTCTGGTTCCCGACTTTTACCTTCTCCGAAAGTTGCTTATACGAAAACTGACACTGATTTTAACTCAATGGAATGCGCTAAATCAACTGATCATCAAAATAAATAAACAAACTGCAGAGAAATTGATTGTCTCAATGGCGAAGCCGAATCCTCGACCTTAAGTATGGAAAATCACTGTGTCAGGATGGCCATCGATTAAGCACCCATAGATATTTAAGTTTGCATGTGATTGATTGGACGGGCCAATAACGTAAAATGGGGAAATAATTGCGCAAATGAAGTTCGGTTTGAAAACTTGAATGATTGTTCAAGAAATGAATTTCTCAGAAAATATGCTTACCTGTATACAAGCTTTCGGCATTTTTGTGGCATTAAAGGGTGTTCGCCAGGGTTGTTTCGGTTTTGGCTTTCGAAACCGCAGTTGCCCTACTGGTGGTTCCGCAAACGGTATTCCGAGAAATTCGGTGACCAATTTTCCATTGGCGCCATACGTTTCACGGCCGTAGAGCGGTGATCCGTCATGCAGCGTTACCAGCTGGTTCAGCACCGGCTATAGCATTTCTCATTATTCTTCATAATTTTTTATGAATTTTTAGATAAAAATATTCCTTTTCCACAAAAACAACGGGTAGCTTAGCTTACCTTAAGCAGTAAGGCAATAAGTGTGATGAAATGCAAGATTATATTCATGGCTGATGATCCCTCATCAATCCTCTATAGTCATTTATTGCGTTGGAGAAGCAGAAATGATTATTTGAAAAAACA